AGACCTCACGTGCCAGGAGGCACCTACCTGAACCCAGCAAGATGGGTGAACAATTTGCGGCGTCTGAGCCTTTCACCATCAAGGATGAGCCAATTGAGAATCTGCGACCACTGAAGGTCATCGTCATTGGGGCGGGATTCTCGGGGATATACACAACAATTCGGTTCGTGGACGTGACCCCAATTGGACATGATGACCGTTAATGTGTGTGTTGCAGTTTATCCCAGCGGCTGAAGAATGTCAAGATTCAGACTTACGAACAGAATGAGGAAACCGCAGGTGTATGGTAAGTCGAGCTCCCTCGAGCGGAATAATTAGAAGCTCGAAGCTCATCATCTTTCAGGTGGATGAACCGTTACCCTGGCATCGCTTGCGACATCCCATGTAAGTGTCGGGGCACATTTTTAGACTTCCTACCGCTCCCATGGCATGCTTCAAGTCTGACAGAGACTTGGGACAGCCTATTCCTATCAGTTCAGCTTCGCTCCCACCCCAAACTGGTCCTCGCTGTATGCACCAGGACCGGAAATCCGCAGTTATATGCAGGGAGTTGCTCAAAAGTATGGCGCGAACCGATTCATCAAGACATCCCACGCTGTGGAAAGCTGTGTTTGGAACGCTCGTCAGAGACAATGGTATGAAGCAACTCCCCTGCAAGACCTTTTTCATTGCTTGCGTAGATTTTCTAATACTCAAAAACAGGCAGGTCAAAGTCCAGGATCTCAAGTCTGGCCTCGTCTTTGAGGAGACAGCTGATCTTGTCATTTCGGCTAAGGGTGGCCTTAATCAGATCAAATGGCCTAAGATCAAAGGCATAGAAGACTACCAGGGTAAACTCATGCATTCCGCTGCATGGGATGAAAGGTGAGCCAGCAGCGACCCTGGTTAGAATCCTGATTGGTCTGATCGGTATATGGCAGTGTTGATTTGCGCAACAAGCGAGTTGGAGTCATCGGCAATGGCTCCAGCGCCATTCAGATTGTACCCGCGATTCAAAAGCTCGACGGGATCAAGGTCTGGAATTTCGCGCGAAGTCCGACCTGGGTTTCGACTTCATTTGGCGATCTAGCGATGACCAAGATGGGGATGGACCCCAAGATCAACACATGTGCGTCTGAAGTGTTCGTCTGAATTGGAGATCCCAGCAACTAACAATGAATCAAACCCAGTTCCCGAGGAGCATAGAAAGCGTGTCACAGATGACCCTGAGCTATTTTACAAACTCCGCAGGACGCTCGAAGAAGAGGCTTCCAAGAAGTATCGTTTCGCCCTGAGAGGCTCGGAAGAACAAGCCATTGCTCTGGAGAAGTTTACAAACCACATGAAGGAACAACTGAAAAGCCGGCCTGACATTTATGAAGCCATCATTCCAACGTTTGCTCCCGGATGCCGGAGACTCACTCCTGGCCCAGGATACCTCGAGGCTCTCCAAGAGCAGAACGTGACCTTCAGTAATACGCCGATTCAACAGCTGACTTCGACGGGTCTCAAGCTCCAGACGGGCGAGCAGGTTGATCTGGATGCGATTGTTTGCGCCACTGGCTTTGATGTCCAGGCGGCACCTTCATTCTCCGTCACTGGTCGCAACGGCGTAACGCTACAGGAGAGATGGTCGCCTCATCCAGAGACATATCTCGCCATTGCCGTGGACGGATTTCCGAACTTCTTCCTCATCGGCGGGCCCAACTCTGGTCTTGGCTCCGGCAGCCTTCTCGCCGTCCTCGAGGCCCAGGCTGATTATGCGATCAAGATGATCCGGAAGTTGCAGAAGGAGGACTACGCGACTTGTGAAATCCGGCCGGAACTTGTCGCCGACTTCAGTCGTTATATCGATGAGTACTTCAAACAGACCGTGTACACGGAAGACTGCTCGTCTTGGTATCGCTCATACGACAAGGGTGATCGTATCGTGGGGCTGTGGCCTGGGTCGTCATTGCATTGCCTCGAGGCATTGCGAGCGCCGCGATGGGAGGACTTTGTCTTTGAAAGTGTGGAGCCTAAAGGCAACTTGCTGAGGTGGCTAGGCAGCGGCACCAGTTTGACGCTCAGCGACGGTGATCCTGCGTGGTACATAGATCCACGTTATGTTGACGTGCCAGAGGAGGGGAGGCCTGAGGAGGCGCAGGTGTATCATCAGCGACCATTTTCGCACTAGCTGAAGGCTGACGACGTTGCTCCGAGAACGGTCCCCTTTGTTTTCAAGAGTATCGATCAGATGCGACGAGCCTTACCCTTTCACGTAGAGCAGCGTGGAGAGAAAGACCAAATAGTTGAAGAATACATTCGGGACACTACTTGTCTTGTATTTGGTGGCGGCGTCCTCGTCTCACACCCCTGAATCTTCTGCCACGAGAACCTAGCCAGTCATACCCTTACCAGTGGCGTCGAGTGCCCTGGTCGCAGGCGCGTCTCATTTTCGGTCCTTCATCTTGTGACTCGTTGTACTAGGTATGTAGACGCTGTGGGCCGTCAACCTGAGCCGTCCTTGACCTCAGCCTAATGAAGATTGATGAAGACGGAGTTCGCAATATTCGCAACCACCTAACGACGTCATGTTCGTCAATCCCATTCATACTTGACAGGAGACAAAATCTGCCGAGAGGAATTATCTGAGGGATTCACCGCCCAATCATGCAAACTACGTATATTGAGCGATGGATCCCAACCCGGAAAAGGTTTAGCTCTTGGCGGCGGAGTTCATCGGCCGCTTGAAAAGGTAGGCCAGGGGGGCAAATGAGGCAGTGCCATGCCCAACATCCGAAGGGCCCCTCCTCTGCCGGGCCTGGGTCAATCCCGATCCTCCACCCTCGACAAATCCTCCAGTGTCGAAACACCTGCCACGCAAGACGCCACAGCCATACTTACCACACGTCCCTCGACGATGCCCAGCCGTCGCGCCGAAGACAATACGACGAGGCGCCGACGCGCCGCTCACACATGATGTCTTCCCCGAACCCGACCGACTCGACAAATAACGGCGGCCCTGCAGGACAGCAGGTTGCCGAGCCCGGACCGAAATTCTTCACGATTGGCGATGTGCATCCCGACAATGACAAGTACCGTGGCCTGACGGGCGACATTGGGGAGCAGGATGTGAAGCAGAAGTACTTTGAGGAGGACTTTAAGTTCGTCATGCCGGATCATCTACGAAGGCCACACCAGGTCAACCCCCGAGCGGCGCCACCGGCGTCGGGTGCATACGAACAGGGCGACTTGAACTCGACGGCCCCATATTCGTCCGACTTGTCGACGACACAACTGGATGGATCCCGCTCGACTGTCTCGGAATCAACTGCCCAAGACAAGTCCGTGCCAGGCTCTGACGACGACGACGGTGTGAAGCAGTCGCTCGCCTTCAGAGTCGCCGGCAAGGTCGACAACTTGACAGACGCTGCACAGAAGGCCGTCAAGCAGCGACGGACGGACGACAGGAAAAATGGGACGATATGTGGTCTGCGGCGCAAAACCTTCTGGATCGTTTTTATCGTCGCTTCTCTTGTCATCATTGGCCTGTCCGTGGGTCTGGGTGTCGGCTTGGCCGTGGCCAACGACAACGACTACTACGCCTCCTACTTCGATGACGGCATCGTCAATCTCGGCAACATCAGTACATCTCCCGAGGCGATCTACTTGAATACGACGCTGTCTTCTCTGAACTTTACCGACGAATTCGGATATGACAATATTGTTGTATTCTACCAACTCAATTCGAAGGTCCTTTGCCGGTCGCTGTGAATTCCTTCGACGAGAAGGTGACTGCTGCTATCGTCAGTACGAAACCCGAGGCATCGAAAAAGGGCATCGCCACTTTCCTCGAATCTATATTGTGACAACGACGACAATGGCTTTGAGGTGCGGCTGTACGCGGTCACAGAGGACAGGACACTGAACGGGGTGGATCAGCAGCTCGCACACCAACGGCAGTCTGCTCGAATTTTGGACCAACTCGAGCATCGCTAACGTTGACGCGGTCCCTGTGGGAGAAGGCTCATCAATCGTCTCCAACGGCAACGAGAACTTCGGAACGCTTGCGTTGGACATGGTTGCGTATCAGGACCACAATGGCACCATGCACCTGCTTCTAGCCAACGGGGATACCAGCGCCCCGGCCTGGGCTGCTTCGATCATGCCATTCGATGACTATCTACCAGCATGGAACACCCCCATGGCGCTGACACCTGTGTATCAACGAGGTGATCCCAGCTTGAGTCTTTTCTACTACAACGAATTTGGTTATTTGAGACAAGTTTCGATCCACAGCGCAACAGATGTTACCCAAGTCTATGGTGTCGCAGAAACAGGCTCATCGATGCGATTCTACGAGGCCACACCATATACTGTCCTCGCTGCCTTCACAGCGGGCTGGAATGATACATCTGACGATCTTAAAATTCAGGTGCTAGGCCTAGATGGCCTGCTGTACAACTACTCTTACCAAAATGCCTGGCTGATGGCATATCAGTACGGACAGTGGGCGGCCAAAGAATATGTACCCACCATGGTGAACAACAGGAATCCGATGGCTTTGACTGCCAACCAAGCTGGCAGAGTGTACGGCACGATTGTGCAGAACACGTCTGTTCTGATCTATGAGTGGATGTGGGAGGGAGGCAACAGTTACAAGCCAATAGGCGTGGTGAACACAACATTGCCGTCGGGTTAGGCACGGAACTATCACCAAAGGAAGGAAGGATATATTATTGTATTAGCGCGCGACAATTGATTTTGTACATTTCTCAATATTTGTTCTGATGCTGGCATCTTCCTTTTCACGAAGTTATCATCACTGTCACGTATGGACGCTGTGCGAATTTCATTGTTGAATTGAGAAGACAACGAGGCAGAATTGTTAATGCAGGTGGCGTAAAGTATGAGCCTCCCCAGTCCTCAGCTTTTCTCATTCAATGCAACGAGAGCGATTTGGGTGGACTGGGGCACAGTGGGGAGGTAGCAGGAATAGAAGGTGGACACGATCTTGCCTCATCCCAAGCAGGCAGCAATCCTTCATCACTTGGCTCGACGGAAGACCAACTGGCCTGAGTCACATTTTTCCTTCGTCAACAGTAGCTTTACAGCTCATGTCGCGAAAACCTATACTATCTTACACAGAATCAGAGCATGGGGTGTCCGATTCAACTGCTCGATTTACCACTAGAAATCCTGCATCTTATTGCATCGCAACTATGTATCCACTGCCGTCATGAACCAGCGCCAGTGTGGAAGACGAGGATGCGGTCAGCCACCAGCATATGGAATGAGCGTAGGAGCCTCATCGCGTTGAGTCTAACCTCGAAGATTCTACGAGAAGTGGCCCAGCCAATTCTATTCCATTCCTTGCTTATACACCGCTACCGAGCCGACAGCCTGAGGGATCTTCATGACAGGCTATTTTCTGCCGTTCACCTCTTCGATACACAGCCTCGCTTAGCCCAGCATGTTAGAACGGTTGATATTGGGGCGTTCAACGAGGATTGCACATGTTGTTATCCTGAGCAATTAGACGACGCTGCTCAGCAGCAGATGCTGCTTATTGAACAGGCTGTCACAAATCTCGGGCTCGAAGCCAGCGACAGCGAGTTGAAAAGTATATGCTCTGGAGATAACATCATCGAAACGCTTGTCCAAATACTGATCTTACAAACGCCTACTGCCGGCCGGTTATCTCTGTCTCTGCCCAAGGATTGGACATTTGGTCTATTCGCAAAGAAACGCGCTGATGGTAGTGGCAAACACCACGTGGTGAAGGCTACCAGGATCGAGGTGGAGGTGGACAAGATCATCAGTGATGCTTGTGACAACTCAGACAACCATGGACTCTGCAACACTTACGGCCCCAGGAGCATGGCCGAGGAGAATCTCATCGACATCGCTCCCAACGTTCAGTTTCTTTGCTGCGGATCAGGTGCTCTTGTGGTTCCTTCCATGAGCCAGAGTCCTGGGCTGTCTCAGCTCACGTCTCTGCAGCTCATCTTCAAGGGCATATGGAGCCCGTTTCTCCCCAGACTGCTCCGCGAATTATCGCACCTCCAACACGTCAGCTTTGTCTCGCAAAACACACATTGCCCCACACCCCGCTTGATCAAGGAAGCGTTGCTCTTGCTGCCTGCGAAGGGCACACTGCAATCATTGACACTCTTGCCCATGTATTGGGTGAACCAACCATTGGGTAGCATGGAGAGTTGGCATCCCGCGGCCGAGACAGCTCTTTCTTATCCGATCGCCACTCTGAAGGAGTTTGAGGGATTGAAGGTTCTCTCCATTGACAGCCTTGTTGTTTACCCCTTCGACCCAGATGGCCCTTCGACCAGGGACACCCAGAGACTGGTCAACTTCCTGCCCTCGTCACTTGAAATACTGGTCATGAGAAGCCTCGGTCAGGCGATATATGCGGTTCCCGAATCGCACTTTCAGGCACTTGCCGATGCAGTGGTGGCAGGGCAGTTTCAAAGATTGCGTTGGGTGTTCTGGACCGATGAACAAGACGGGTACATCATGCAGCCGCACGACAGATTCAGACCCGGCCTCGGGTTGCCGTCCTCAGAAACCCCCGGTGTTCTCGGTATTTCTAGAGATATGGCCGAACTCAACCTGTCATCAACGGGCAGTATCTGTACCAAAGAGGCTGGTGAGCAGTGGGTAGCCCAGGGACTTTGGAAGAAAAGGCTACATCCAGATCTCTCACAGTGGTTGGAATTCGTCGAAGAGCCGGATGCTTTTCCCGACTGGGACAGATTGTGGGAGGACTGCGTGAGGAGATATGCCCCGAATATATGGGCCGATCCAGAGTAGCCCAGTGCTCGTTGAGTCATTGCCGGTCGATCTCTTGCAATCCGGCTGTTGCTTTCAGGCAAATGAGAGGATGGGTGCTACTGGTATATAGATCCCACCACGCAAAGCTGTACGGCCTGTTTGTACGATCTCATGTGGTAAGGATTCGCCTCATGCATCTTCCATACGCACGCGAGTAGCTGGGTATTCCGGAGAATATCAATCCAAAAGCTGCAGTGGAGAGGTCTTGTGCACAAGACCCAAGTAATCATATGCAATTGCGACGTCACATGCGTACTCGGTGAGTAGCAATAGAAGAGATATTGAGGTTAAAGTTTTCTTTCATTGGATATTCTACCTGGACTATTGTCAACGGCAGCCAGTCTTATCATTTCCCTATGACCGGGGAGTTGTTACCCGAACGCCGCAACGCCAAGCCGAACGAGGTGTCTGTGATTTTGTCTAGACTTCAGCTTCAGTCGACAACAATCACCACCTCCGACCTCGACCCCGGCCACCAAAGCCGCCACGGTTGACGCCGCCCATGCCACCCTGCTGGTCAAACCCGCCGAATTGGCCCTGGTTGCCTCCGAAACCCTGCCCAAAGTTCTGTCCCTGAGCGCCTGGAACGCCGGCGTTACCAGCTTGGCCCTGCATGCCGGAAAACATGGCCGACATGGCTGCGGGGTCCATCTGGCTGGGGATCCATGCCTGAGCTCATCATCTGCTGCATCATCTGCTGCATCTCAGGAGGCATGCCGTCCATGCCGCCCATGCCGGCCATACCAGCCTGGCCCTGCGCACCTTGCGCGGCCGCCGGGCAATGTTCATACCGCCTCCCATCATCATCATC